CAGCCCCTCTTTCTGATGCCAAGCCTTTGCTGATCACTCTCTTATGCATGTTCGTTAGCCAATGCTTAATCCAGTTAAAACACGCTTTATTGATACTGTGCAGTGCTATGTTTTTAATTAGAATATTGAGTGATACTAAGTCAAAAGGCACACAAAAGTTGAAGTGTATTATACCTACATCGTTACCTTTGGCAACCTAACTTAAAATCTCATCAAAGAGCAGAAGTAGATTTGTTTGACAAGGCTTATTTTGCACAGAACTATGTTGACTAGCATTAATTATATTCCTATCTTTTAATAATTTATTAATTGAATCTCTTTTCAGTTTTCCTATTATTTCTCTCGGGAATGATGTTGGGCTGAGCAGCCTGGGAATACAGATGTCACCTGCTTGCTCTTAGTGGAACACCAAGAAAGATGTAGCACTGCTGCTTAATGGAATATCAATGTCATTTTTCATTCCTTCTTTAGGTCCCCTAAATAGGTATTTTTTCTAAATTTTGACATGCTATATATTCTTTTACTAGCAAAAGAAAAATTCCATCAGCAAATTGTGAAGTAAAACATTTTATGTAAATAAATTACTGAAAGTCTCGCTATGCCATTGTGCAATGTATTAAAAATGAAAGCAAACTTGGTGTGAATATGGGAAAAGATGTTGCACAACTGTACTGCAGTGTTACAACAGGATGATGTGTGCTCAAATTAGAAAGAACAATTGAAGAAGTCTGAATATGCATCTGTAGTTCTGAAAGGCTGTTATGTTCTTGTTCCCAGAACTGGCTTGTCAGTGAGATATAAAATAGAAATAGGTACAATCAGTTTCCAGTGCATTGAGATCTTTTTCTGGATTACAAAATCCATCTCAAAGTTTTCATTTCTGTTTCAACTTTTTGGAACTGGTGGAGTTATAATATTTGCATTTGTGTTGGATGGTTTTGACTCCTTTCATGCTTGAAGCTTCTGGTTCTGTGTATACTTTAAATTCGTTGTATTTGGGAAAGCAAGGTATTAAACAAAAGCAGTGCCTATTAAGGGAGATAATTTCATTTCATTCCTCAAATAATCTGGGATAAATAGCATTTAAAGTAGATGGCTGCTCCAAGAGAATGTCTGGGAGGAGAACCAGCACTTCATCTGCACAAATCCATCACCGTGTTACATTTTGCACATGTGGTGTCAGGAGTGCTTGGCAGGAAGGGCCAGGTGAGCGACTGTACCACGGGCTAGAGCAGATGTACCAGTAGAACAACACTGAGTCCTGGGCTGGGTTTGAGGTTTGTCTGAGTCAGGGTTTGGTTTATCAAATTACACTGCTTAATTTCTGTCAGAGGTGAGAATCCAGGATCCACAGATGTGCCAGACTATTGGACACACTATCCTGAAAATCCTTCATGCTTTTCTGCTTAAAACAAAGGATGAAATATTCACTGTCCCACAGAGACAAAAAAAAAAGGAATGCAACCCTATATTCAGACTGCTGTGGCAGTAAAAGGTATATCAGCATCAACATCTGAATCATAAAATTCCACACAGGCTCTGGTAAAATATTGTCACAGATTATGGGAATTCCTCAAAAGATTCTGAACTGAAAAATCGGTCTCCCAGTACTGCTGGAGGATACCATACTAGGATTGTTGGGAAAAATAAAAATTCTTCTACTCTGGAAAATCTTTTTTTTTCCCCCTGTACTTTTTGAGAAGGATTGCATTTTGCAGATCTAAAACATGCACATTATTAAGGTCTCTAAGCAGCTAAGTCTCTATTGAGCTTGGTTATTTTATTTGTGATATTACTTTATGTGGAACTGATCTTTCAGGTCTTCTGCTTTTTGCATTTATTTCACTGAACTTCTTAACCTGACACCATCCTCTTTCTACCAGACTTGATAATGGTTATTCAGTTTCTACATGTAGACTATCAACTCAAATTTCCTTGTCTGTTTTTAGATTTCTTTTGCTTCTTCAGGTTCTCAGGGCCTTGTCCAGAAAAGTGTTGTGAATCACCAAGGATGGGGATTCCATAGCCTCCCGGGGCAACATGTGCCAGTGCTTAACTGCTCCTTGTGCATCATTAAAATGAAGCTCAAAATCAAGTCAAAGTTTAACATTTGGAATTTTGGCAATACTTACTTAAAAGAGTTAAAGTCATCTGCAATATTCAGAAAATCTAAGTTGAAACATACCTTCATACCACTGATAAAAGATAACAGAAGTCATGCAACATCCTAATGGAGAATAAATCAGTCATACTTGGAATGAGACACTGTGCTATCTGGTTTTATAAAATTACAAAGATTTGAGGTTTTGCTACTAGTTCACACATATTATATGCACAGTTTTAAAAATATGCTCCATGTTTAGAGAGCTTGACTTGCAATCTCAATATTTCTTTCTCATAGTTTGAATTTCCCCTCCCCCACCTTGCTTTTATTGTACATTAACAATATGATTACAAAATAGGTTTCATATTCTGCTTTGTCTTTACATTGTGCTTTACATTTTAAAAAGTGCTTTACTTTATCAGTAAGTACTGAGGTTTATTTAGAATGTATAAAGATGAAAAGCAATGCATAGATCCATTTTTAACCTCAAAGATTCTGCTTTGTAATGACTATAGCTGGCACAGTAAAGGGGTGGAAAGGTTTCCAAAACCACAGCAACATAGATCACATCAGCAAAGCTGTGATTCTTCTTCTGCCTGTGTAAATTCAGGACAGGATCTAATCACTGAAAAATTATCATACTAAATAAGCACTTGTGATAAACTACTTTTTACCTCATCAGCAGTTAGCTGAATGTCTTTCAAAGATCTTCCCTTTGCCCAGTGGGATGGCCCTGTGGTGGTTCACTTAGAAAACAGGATGTACTGAGATTTTGGTCTGCCACTAGCAATCTGGGGCCCAGAGGAAAAAAAAAAAAGCAGGCCATTGATTTTTCAGCAGTTTTCTTGTGGCAGACCTATAAAAATTCCTTGTTAAAAACAAATTAAAACAAGACAGTATAGATTTTGGGCACTGAAATTTTCTTATGTTTCCCATTTAATTTGAAGGTGTAGGATAATCTTGATTTTAAGCTTCAGGTAGGCCTGTAGAAATTCTAAGGCAGAAATTCATTGCACGTTACAAAGGGTTCATCAGCTTCATTTAATATAAAAAATTAATAGGGGTGAAATGCAGTAAATTCAATTGTTGCCTATGTGCTGGTCCCATTTATACTGAATAAAGAATCTGTGCTTTTTAAAGCTGTTGATTGCAGAGTTCTGCACTACTGCAAAGAGATCTTCAGCAGTTTAGCTACCAGAAGGCTCTGGGTAGTGGTGACTGTGTGTGGGTTCAGTCAGTGAGGGTCCAATCATGACTTGTCCATGGATGCTACTGGAGGAGCAGCAGAAATGAGGGTACACAGAAATCCCTTTCCAGCCATCCAGTTCCCTTAGTAGATTTGATTTTGCCCAGAAATAATACTATGGTTAAACTGACATGCAATAGATTTAATTAGATTATCATTTAAGAAAATACTTGAGTATCTAATTTTCAATATGAGCTTAAGTATGAAGGACTAAATAGAATTAGTATCTGAATTATTTGTTATGATTTTACATGTGTCCTTACACATGATAAATCAGAGTTTAAACAGTGCATTATGTACTTTCTAACACAAAAATCTAAGTTAAGACAAATAATGATGTAAGTAAATTCCAAATATACATGTAATTTTTGCAACCTTATATATTGTGCATACCTTCCTAACATAAACCTGGGGAAAATTCAAACAGTGCATTTAAGATTTTATCATTATTTTAATGGAATATTATTTAATAACTTTAGGCCTTACATCAAAATAATTAATCTCATATTCATTACTGCAAGACTTAGTCTTTTTTACATGAATGGAAAATTAAAGAAACATAATTAAAATTGCACTATAATGATTAAAAATAAACTAGGTACTGCAATATTGTACAAAAATATAGCTACTTCAAATGAAAACTGCTTTTATGGTTATCTATCTCTGCTTATATATTTTAGGGGAATCAAAAAGAAGTTTGCTTAAATTGTTTAATTTGCTTAAATGACTACATTTCTTTTAGAAAAAGTCTTCAAAGCAAGTCTGGCTATTATTTAACAAATATTAATCATGCTTACACAGAGGCCACTTGAGAAAAAATTATAACAAGAGACTTGTGACCAGTCATGCCATAGGAAGAGGCGAGAGCCACAGGGCTGAAATGACATAAAGGTTTGTGTATGCAGTGCTCCTCTGGTAGTTATATTGTAGGAATGTGACATTGATCTAAACTGGGAACTGTTTGAAGTAGCAACTGTCAATCTCTGTAATCAAAGGATGGCCCAAAGTCTAAATCAGCCATTTTGGCATGACCACTTAGTTTATAAAGCCAAATCCACTAAAAAAGTGATCTGTCCTCAAGAGGTGCTTCAAGAGGCCTGCACAGTTTGTGGATAGTGTGCAGTAATTCAGAGCTATAGCTAGGACTCCATGGCAAAAGTACAGAAATGCCTCATTTTAATGACTGTACTTATTACAAGGTGAGACAAATGTGGATTGAGGTGGGAATGTTGCTGTTGATTTTATTTAAAATTGGTTGGTGCATTTATTTACTCATTCATGAACAAAAGAGTCAATATTAATTTTACAGTACATATATGCATGTAGATTTGATTGCAGGGATCTCAAGAGAGATCACTTTTAATTGAGAAAAATGTGTAGCACATTTCCGGTCTTTTCTCAGGATCATGGTTATCTTTTCTAATTCTGTTTTTCTTTAAAATTATTCAGAGTGTTTGTTCAGCTGTGCAAGGGGAAAATGGTAAACAAATATAAAATGTGTGTGTGAAACTGAAAAGAAAAAAATCATAATTCTATCCAAGACTTATTAAAGCTGAATCTATTGTTTTGAAGTGTTTTTTAAGTGAGCACATGTATAACTACTGATACAAGCAACTTGAATCTTCAGCAATTATTTCCATTCCTTCCCAGGTACAAACACACTTGGAAAATCAGTCTAGATACCACATCCAGCAGAGCCAGAGGCACCAGGTGAAGCAGTACCTGACCCTTGACACCAAGCTGTCCAGCCAGACACTCTCCCTGTCCCACTCTCACACAATCCAGCCGGTGGGAGTGAGCTCCATTCTCCGGAACGCACACATGCCTCCAGTGAGCAGCACTGGCGCTCCAGAAAGCCCTGTCACCAAGCTGCTGGCCCTGGGAGGCGAACACCAAAATGCGGTAGGGCAGAGCTGGGTTGAGGAAAGGGGAGCTGGGCTTTGTCTACTTCGACAAAAATGTTACATGACCCACCTTGCACTACAAGTGGGCAAGAGATGACTTTCTTAACTTTCAAGGGGCCTTTGGTTTTGGCACTTGCTTTCTGTATCCTTTTGAATTATGTGGTTTATTCCCTTGTGTGTCTCTGAATAGCTTACTGCAGGATCAAGCTTTTAGACTCTTGCCAGATAAAATGTACCATTGCATCTTTTTATACATGCATCATATGTTGCTGTACATTTTATGAATATGCAGTTTGCGAAGAAAAAACATCCTTTTCTCAGATGGGAGTTGTTTCTGTCTAAAGGTATTAATCTAGCTGCATAAAAAAGTTAAATACTGATTACCTTAAATATATTACTGAAAAAAATCAATCACTCATTTTTAGTTAGCTGTTATATTTTTATATGGGTTATCTCGAGTAAATTGGCAAAGATATGCCAACTTTAGTGCCACCATGGATTTTAATAGAGGTGCAGCTCTAATACAATATCAGATTCTTAGCCAGTGTGAGATGTAAGTCATTATGGCTTTTAATACTTCAATGGATTTCAAAAGGGACTGTTTATTAGGTAAAAGGGGAGTTCCTACAGAAATGAGAAATGGAGATGCTGTATCAGGTCTTTGACCTTAATAGAACAGAAGAATCTAACAAATACACTGTGACTCATTTGAGCGTTTGGGTGTTATGTAGCTAAGCATGAGGGAGCCCATAAAGCTTCTAGGAGAGTTCATCTGGGGCCTCTCCATTCCTTCAGCATTGACAACTGACATTTGAAGTCAGGTTTATGGATTACTGGAGCTACTTTAAAATGCTATTTTAAATGGCCTTTGTGGACAGCTGTGTTACCACCTCCATGCTGGCAAAGTGCAGTGTTCTGGAACTGTTCTCAGGCATTTTGGGTCTGATCTGCACTTGTGTCACCCTCTGTCCTGGTGAGCAAGAGGGCACCTGGGGAAGACTGGGAAGGTGATAGCGGGCACTGGCAAGATCCTGGCAATTTTGCAATGATTTGGATAATCTCATCTCAGACTCAGGGGGATGACTGTCACAGTGTAATTTCTTAATGGGGGTGTGCCCTGAGGTTGTGAGTAGGTTATAGTTATATTAGTAAATAACATAGAGCCAACACCCAGGTTGGTGCAGTAAACTGCACTTCTTCATGTTGTTTAACTGCCAGCATTTCTTAGTATCATTTTGGCCCTGAAGGTATTTCCCTAGATAAGTCTGGACACATTTCCTGGCACAGTAGTTTGGTTTTAGAGAGGGAGAGGAAGGCATGAATGAGCTGTGTTGGGCCTTGTGGCTTAAAAGTCTGCGTTGAAAGGTCCCACGTCTGTGTGATACTTTCATTGCACAGAACCACTTACAATACCTTCAGCTCCCAAGAGCTGCAGATAGTAGAATTAAAAGTGACATGGGGATCTCTCCCAAAATTATATTGTGAATAGAACCGGACCATAACTATCATTGAAAACTCACGTTGTACTTTGTCCAGATCTATAGGTATCTATGGGCCTTGAAAGTATTCATTCTTTCATCCCAAGTAATTATTGAGCTATTCCCTATGCCTCAATAGTTTTTTGGCTCAGATTAGATCAAAAGTGAGACCAGAAGGCTGTCTGGAAAAATATCCCATGTACTGTTAAACAAAGAAACCTCTACCTGCAGAAGAGGGCAGCATGTAGCACCAAACCTCTAGTGTCTCATACAATTGCAGAGCCACAGGTTCCTTCCTGCAGCAATGCAGCAATGCACTATGGATATGACACATTTGATCAAGATGACAGGTCACAGTTACAGCTTAACAATGCATTTCTGACACCTGATTGTGGTGCTGCAATAAGGGGTTAAAATAGGACCATGGGCTGGTGTTTTAGAGAAAGATGTATCTTTCTCTTATCTAAACCACAACTGTTTTCACAAGAGGTAAAAAAAATGTGAATATTGTATAGAAGTGTTGGAATTGTTTGAATTTTAAGATATAAACTTCTGAAATTCAGTTTCATTGCTGCTATAGATATTCAATATTAATTCCTCTGTATTTTAAAAATAACTTTTTTCCATTATTATTTGTAGTGATTTGTCTTAAAATATTATTTTATCAGATGGAAGAAGTTATTGAAGACATAATCAATATGGAATCAAATTTTAATGATGAAGTGATAGGTTGTTCTGAAACTCCTTTACTAATGCAAAGAACTGTAAGTATTTTGTTGAATTTCATCTTGCTTTTTATACTAGAAAACTTCTTTAAATGATTCAAGCACATCACAGTTCAGAGACAAAGGAATAGTATCAGTGGACTGTTCTCCTTTCTCTTCAGTTGATTGCCTTTTTGTCAATAATATTACAGAAAAGGATTCCAGTGTGGTGAGACACAGATGTTTTATGTGGTCTGAATAGCATTTGGGGTTCTAGCCCAGCAAAATGTCTGGTGCATAACCCATTGGAGTTACTAATTTCTGTGCAGTGCTAAAAATAGTAAGGATAAAAAGTCTCTGGACCCTAGAAATCCTTTTAAAACCTTGCTTAAAGATCCATCTACCTCAACTAAAAAAAAAAGTTAAAACTTCCCCATGTAATAGTTCTCTTCTTATCCTGAAGCATGGCTCTAGTTCTGGGTTTTCATACAGACAAGTTGAGTTTTGTTGAATAATTTCAAGGACAAATAAGAGGAATGTGACTTCTTCACAAGGATTACTGTAATAAACTTCTATTTTGTGATGTCTCTTTGTGAATAAATATGAGAGGACTAACAAAGACTATTTACATTTCCATATATATTACATTTTGAAGAGGAAGGATGGAGCTCTTCTGGACACAACAACACATAAAGTGTAATTTATGAAAGTAATATATATCAATAACTGTAATGCACTTTGCAGAAGGATATATGTTGTCCTCTCTACCCTAACTTATGTCCAGAACTGTTTGTCCTCAGGGATTTAAACTGTACGCCGGTAGAGGAAAACTTCACCCTGATGAAGGCAGAAGGATTTCCGCAGGCTTTGACACTCTACTAAGCTCACTTCAGAACAGTCAGGTGCTTGCTCTTTATCGCCGCCTGGAGGAACATCTTTTTCTGACTTACAGAACTTCACTGGCTCCAAAAATACCTTAGGAGACAAGTTCTTTATTCTTCTATGCTGCCCACTATAGAGTCCAGCATTAATGCCAATTATCATTTCAATGAACACCTGATACAGTTGTAGTTGACATTTGCATGCCAACTACAGAATTAATGCAGCTGGACTGAATTACACATATCTCACTCAGTACAGAACACAGCAAAGAAATGGTCCCTGGGGAGTGAATTAATATTTTGGCTCAAATTAATGTGAGGCAGGGGAGGATAATTTCAGGTATGATAGTGTGGCATGGTGATGAGAGGCATGAATTCTGGGTTTTGGGTTGAAGCTATACTCCCTCAAAACCTTTTAAAACTGGATGATGTTAATCTATGCTAATTCCAGGTTCATTAGCCTCTATCTTCAGCCTGGAAGGACATCTGTCTCTAAAATTTATTGAATAGCCTACTCTTGATGAGGAAGGAAATATGCAAAGTCTTTTAGACCTTGATGGTACTTTGCTTGCAATGATTTGGCACTCTTGGAGTGCCTCTGGGACAAGCAGTAATATTTGGATTTTCATTTGTGCTGAGGAAATCAGCAGGCTGCTAGGTAAGCCAGGCAGTAGCACGCATTTCCAAATCTTTCCGTTCAGTACTGTGGCAAAATAAAGGCTGCCTTCAGCAAGGCATGCAAACTGCATCTGTGTGAGGAAATTGAGTGGAGATTGTCTCTGCTTCCTCTGTCTTCTCTTTTAGCATTGTGTACTTTCAAAATATACAAAAGAATTAGGTATATGGAGATGATTTCAGGTATTTAGCTCATACCACTTGGTTTTATGCCATCTTTCAGGCAATATCCTAAATCTCCCAGCAAAATTTTGGTCATAAGCTGTGCAATAGAGAAAGATAGAGGCACAGTTAGAAAATAATTTTTCTATCCAGTTTTCCATTATCACATTAAACATAATGAAATTTCCTTATCTGAGCCAAACATATATGTATTACAAGAGTGTTGGACTAGGAGGCATGATCAAGAATGAGCGAACATCTAATTAGAGAAGATGTGTTGTACTTCAGCAAGGAGCCGTAGTAGCTCTGACACCTGCACAAGGTGCCTTGCTGTGGTGGCTGACACAAACATAGAGCAAGTGAGATTACAGGTGAGACTGAGTTGCCTCTGTATCTGGCTGATATTGCGTTGGTTTTCTCTTCAAAATCTCCAGCATAATGCCTAAGAATTTCTGGAATTTCTTCTAAGGCTTTCCTTACTTGAGATTGTCTTGATTTTGCAAAATGTGCAGAGTAGTGTCTGAAATTCTGAAATGGACTGACGTGGTTTTCAGAGTGTGGCAAGAGGTTCAGGTGTTTTTTCAGCAAAAAAAATCAAATTCATGGTGCCATATTCCTGCCTCAGTGTTCTCAGTGGATAGTGGCTGAGTAATCTCCACTTTTTACAGTGCAACCTGTTGTTTGTTGCAGTGAGCTAATGTTTGCTTTAGTTAAATGCATCCATGTACCATTTTAATGACACATTAAATGAAGACATTGAATTCTGTGAGACCACTCATGTGAATAATTGCTCAAAGGCTCATTGTCTGACCCTGAATTAATGAATTACAGTTATGTATTAGTAGAATCAGAGAAGTGAAAATAAGAACATTCCTCCATCTCTCATTAAAATAATTAATTACAGCTTCTGAGGAGTGGATTATCTGGATTTTATTGTGTTTGGATCCAAATTTATAATTTCATGAAACTTTCTGGTTTAGAATGGTCACTTAAGAATTGTTCAAACTAGGGAATTTTCTGGCTGTGTTTCTGTTGCTCTTCAGAGTACCCTAATGGCAGAAACCTACGTTTTATAGAAGTTTTTTAGAAGTTCAGTTAAAATGTATGACAAAGTCCTCCCTACATACAAGAGGTCTTGATTCTCCTGAAGGAATTTCTAAATCAAATTATATCTTTGCTCATACAGCATAACTTATAAAATAATAACTATCATTTAATGACAACTGTTTGTTCATTATGGAGAAGGTAAGATTTAATAAAAAAAAGATCCTTGAAGATGGCACAAATTTAAAATCATTTTTCCTTGTTGCAATAATTTAGTTTTATGAAATTTTTATTAAAAGACAGCAGAGTATTTATTTATTATAAGAAAATATTTTTTCTCTAAGTATCATATTAGGAGCAACAGGTTTGTCCCTGACCATATAGGAATCACTGAAAAAATGAAACAAATATTATATGAGTTTTAGAAGTTAACTACTGTCATGTAAGCCAGATACGGTGACAAACATTTGAAAAGTAAATACTTTTCATTTTTATCATAAGTTCATTCTCATTCAAAATCCTCACAGTCTATTTAACATTCTGTAGTGAATTTAAAGTATATTAATACTTCCAAATGTTCAGAACACAGGAAGTGTAGATATTTAGGTCTGTTAATACAAAGTGTAGATTACACCACCATTAATATTTTAGGGCAGGTAGTAAAAATCTCTGCTCTACATTGCTTTTAATATCAGCAAAGAGAGAAATTTAAGAAACATATTAAAGCAGATGTGGAGAGCATTAATCATAGTGAAGAGAAAAAACAAGAAATAACAGGATCTTTTCAGGGTGTGATTTAACAGCATGTGATCTTATGAATCATTTATTTGTACTAAATGTTGTTTTGATAATATACATATACAGCCCTAGGACTCACCAGTAAACCCAGTAATCTAGCAATTACAATGGAGATCTGTATGAAAGCAGTTGGCAATTTACCAGTACTTTCATTCAGAAATAACTGTTGCAGTCCAAATAATCACTGTACAACTGGGATAATGCTCTCTACTTGACATGCAGTCCACTAAAACTTATGTCCAAAGCATTAGGAGATTGACTGGCTTAGAATGAGAATGAAGTGAGAGGAAGTTAATGTTCTGCAATGACACAAGCCTCTCTTGCACAGACCTGGGTAGGAAAAATAATATAATCCTGGGAACATTTTCAAGGATTCTAAGTTGTCTTTTTTTCTGGTGCACAAGAAAACTGAGCTTTCAGTACTGTTTTTGAAGAAGCCTGGGGAGAGAGGCTCTTTAGCAGTTAGATGGCTGGCGATGAGAACTAAGAAGTAGCTGCAGAGCAATGCTGCAGGTTGAGCACTACCATGAAATTGGATTTCAAAAAGTCACCAGGAGAGGCCCAGCTGCTAGTATGTGCAATCAGTTCAGTTCCATGTTGCTGGAGTAGTCAATACTGAATGACTAAACTAAATGGAGCAGTTCCTTTCAGGTTGCTTGGAAGAAAATTGAAAGCTTCTTCATAGGAAACCTTTCCATGAATTTTTTTTCTATGTCCAGTACTAAATAAAGGCAAGAAAAAAATATTTCCAAGTTGATGTAGGAAGAAATTATTTACTGTGAGTGTGGTGAGACACTGGAATAGGTTGTCTTGGGAAGCTGTGAATGCCCCAACCCCGGCAGTGTTTAAGGCCAGGCTGACTAAGGCCTTGAGCAACCTGGTTTGGTGGGAGGTGTCTGCCCACGGCAGGGAGGGTTGGGACTAGATGGTCTTTAAGGTCCATACCAACCCATTAACATTGTATGATACTATGATTTATTTGTAATATTTAAGAAATGTTTTCTTTAACTATCCCCTTGAATGAAATGTTGAGAAAATAATAACTAAATCACTACCAGAGAAGGGAGGCCAGAGCACCTGGGCATGCTGGAAGTCAGAGGTTGTGCCGGCTGTGAGTTGGGGAAGCAGCTGGGCAGGAAAAAGGTGGCAATACTCTGTAAAGGGGGTGCCTTGCAATGGGTCACCTCTTCAGGGATCTTCTGAGGCTTCACTGCTTCACTTTCTTGACTTCATTTCAAATACTCATAGTTCACTATTTACCAAAGTTGGGAGCTACTGTGTATTTCCAGTCTGCTTGGGAGTCAAGTCAGTGGGATTGCTTCACTTCTGCCACTCTTGCAGGAAAAGAGCTTGTGGGGAAAATCTTTAGTTGCTGCATGACTTGCTTGTATTTGTTTTGCTACTTTGGCATTTGGAAAAAATCTTGTGTTGTACAGGTATGGAGTAGAAGTTAGATTGGGACAGGACAGAAAGATGTTTTCTTCTTTAATTTTTATGATT